AATTTGATAATATTTTGTAGAAAAGCTTTTTAGAAGCTCCATAGATATGATTTCATCTTTATACATATATAAAGGTGATTAGTAGGTTGAACACTTAGCCAAAAAATTAGCCACATGTTATATATGTTGGTAGCTTTTGATACAAGCTAATCATGTAGTATGCATATAAAAAACTTGCTTTGTAAATTAAAACATATATATATATATATATATATATATATATATATATATTAGACACATTTCAAAGGTCTTATGGAATGTCGCCATATAACTCTTAGTAAGATAGTATATATGTGGATAAGAATAAAGTCTTCTTCACTTTTGTCAATTCTTTTCTTGATTTTAATCTAGTTTCAAGGATTTCTAATATTTTTATCTTTTGGAAATAGCCATTTTAACTCTTCTTGAATATACATACTTTCTTATTTCTGTTTTGTCATCTTTCTTTGAAAAAAGTCTCACTTATTTATTTGTCTTCATTAAATTTTTATCTTTAATAGATTAACAAGGGTATACTTATAGTATCAAAGCTTTGTCTTTTCTTCATTAAAAGTAAATTATCTCTTTTTCTTAATAAGATATAAGCATATTAAAATTTTTGGATTATCCTCTTCTAGATTGATATTATTCTTAGCAATTTTTTTATTCTTAAGTATTATTTATTTTGATTAATATTAGATTTCTTTTTTTTAAATATTATTATGAAAAGATTGTTGAAATAAAGAATGCAATGGCATAAAAGTATGAGTAATTAAGGATATTAATGCTTACAATTCATCAATTCAATTTACTACTACAAGGAGGAATAAGATTGACAAGAATTAAAGATATAAAGTTGATTAGAGTTGCTTCAACATCTACACCAAATTATTCTACTACTTCTACAGTGAAACATCGTTCTCACAGTAGAAAACCAAAAATTGTCATGTTAGAGAAGTTTGATGGCACAAGATCAAAGTTTTGAGGATTCATTAATTAAATAAAATTAATGATTAAAATTTAATCCCAAATTTATTCAACTCTAAGATCACATGTCATATTTATTGAAACACTATTTTTAAATTTTGCATTATCATAATTTTTATCTTTTTTTGAACATCAAGATCTAATACTAGATAATTTTGAGGCCTTTTTGGCAAAATTTGATCTATGTATGGAAAATATGATGTAATTTGTATTACAACCAACAAAATTTATATTTTATAATAAGACAATCAATTTGTAACATTATATGCTTTACACTGTTGACAACTTGTGACTGATATCAAGTGAAATGATGTTGCATTTCTTAGCTAATTTTTCTAAAGATTATAATATGATGTAAAAAAATTCATATTCAACTTACCTAATCCTCAAACATTATCTTAAATAATTGACTTTGTTATGAAATGTAATAATTAGCTTTTTGAATTTCAATATGAATATTGTATAAATAAGCATCAATATCTTTAAAATTCAATGGCAATATCATGTGAAAGACATGAATCTTACAAAATCAAAAATTTAATATACTCTTGTGTAATTCAAAAAATATATATATTTATTTAAAACTAATATAGTATTGAAACTAGAATAGCTATTGCCAAAGATAAGAAGATTAAAAAGACTTGAAACAAGACTAAAGACTAAAAATGCATTGATAAGAGTAAAAAAGTCTTCACTCTTGTTTCCATATATATTATCTAACTAAAAGCTATGTGACATTATTCTATAGGACCTCCAATACATGTCCAACTTGCAAGACATGTGTCTAATTTATAAGATTAGTTTGCTATATGTGTACTATGTATTAAACTTGTTCCACAAGCTACTAACATGTGCAATATATGGCTAACTTGTTGACTAAGTTTCTAACCTACTAATCAACTATAAATACATCTAAAGTCAAATATACGTCTATAAAACTTCTAAGAAGCTTTGCCACAAGATAATATCAAATCTATATAAATTTATTTTTTATCTAGTATTTATTATTTAGATAAATATGTATGTATATGATACACCATTGGGATTTTAATACATATATTCAGAAGTAAAAGATATGTAAATTGATGCAGTAAGTTTTAAATTTCTTATTGAGCAAAAAAAGACTTAATATCATGACGAAATATTATACTTGTATTGTAGAGAACCTAAGCACATTTCTCAATATTGTCCAAAGAAGCTTGAGTTTTTTGAAATATTGTCTTTTTTGACATTGTAACCATAAAATGAAAAACATGGCTATAACTTATTCATAGTAACTTAAAATCGTATTTTATTAATATCATTGAAAATACAAAATAAATTTTTATATGACAAAAAATATTTTTAATTTATATCTTATATTTTTTACCAATTCATAATCCAATAAATAAATTATGACAAGTTTGTAGAATATGAATTTCTTTGATTTTCTTTCTTTCACTTATTTTGTCTTTCTTCTTTATTTATTGCTTATTTTTTATACTTCTCACTTTATACCACGAATTACAATAACTTCTTAATATAAGTCATCTTATACTTTAAATTAAGAGATAAATTTCACCTTTACTTAATTATTTTATCGTTTCAATTTACCAACATTTGATTTCTAACACATAATTGATATTCTATTTTTTTTAAAAAATAATTTTACATTTATAAATAAAATTATTATATTTTTATAAAAAAATCTAGTTTTATACTAATAATATAAATTATCATTTTTAAATATCTTCAAATATTATCTTTTGATAATTTAATTTATTTGAATATATTTTTATACTTTTTATAATAATATTTCTTTTTACAATAAAATTTATAATATATATAAAATTTTAAAGTATTTTTAGATTTAAAATTTTATCTTTATTTAATTTAATAAAAACAAAAATATTTAATAATTTAATTAAATTTTTATGTATTAAATATTTTTAATATTTTTGTATAATATTTTTTATTTTATAATAATTATATAATAAATACTTGTATTATTTAAATAGATATAATTTTTTAAAATTAAATAGAATTAAATAAAAGCATATTAGGTATATAATATCTTTTTTTAAAACTTTATAGAATTTTTAAGATGCAAATTAAATCTTCAAATATTTTTATATGTGTCATAAGACTGTAGTTTTTATCTTTTCAAAACTTTCTCACCATTAGATAACAAAACTATAGAAGCAAATTATAATATAGATAGTTAGTCTATAATTCTCATGGTTCTTAGTTATTTACATATAGCCTTCTTTGTATCTAATATGTTTAAAGACACAATTAAAGTAATTTTTATTCTAATAAAAACTTTATTCTAATTTAATATTAATATAAGACTCTCAAGTTTTTTTTAATCTAGCAATAACCATTTTAATTCATCTCTAGTTTATAACTATAAATTATCTTTGTATTTATTTTTCTTAATAGTACAAGAATTTATTGTCTTTTTAAAATTTTATGTAGATTTATACCCTTGACATATTAAGAAGACTAACATACATAAGATTAGAGTTTTTTTTTAAAAAAAAATCAAGAATGAATAATTTTTTTTAAAAGCATCAAAGTGCTTTTGAAATTATGTATTATCTTCTTCTATAATAATTTTTATTTTATAGCACCATAAATATATATATATATATATATATATATGTTTCTTACAAAGAAATTCTTAAGTTAATATATTAATGGTTTTTTTTAATAGTGTTGTATTATAGATGTAAGATTTAATTAATTTAACTTTTTTCTTATCTACATAAAAAACATATGATTTCAATAATACAAGGATAGCAAGGATTTCTTCAACAAATGTATTACCTCAAGTAATTCATAAAAAAACAAAGTTTCATTTAGTAAAAAACTAAGAGTTTTTCATTTTAAGAAGTTTAATATTTTTAAAATTAAATAATAATAATCATAATAAGCTTATATCATCTTCAATACATGTATTTATACTATATTTATAAAAAAAATCTACAAAAATATCCCTTCTACCACTATAGTATTATACACATTTGTTCAACCTTCTATATCTTATTTTATTCACATTCTTCTAACTCTGTAAAAATCCTCTTCTAAAAACATTCTCCTATTACACATTATAGAAAAATTTCACAACACTTATCTCTTTAAAATTACAACTCTTAAATTTTTCTAAGTCTTGCTTATACATTCTAAATTGAAGCTGCATTAATTATTGTAATAATGAAATATTTATGTATTATTTAATAAAAATATTGTAAATTTTGATAGCAATAAAATAAATTTTTTATATAAAATATTTATTGTAATAATAAACCTGTGAAATAAATACCTACTTTAAGAATAATTAAATAATAAAAAATATTAAAAATTATAATTTAGAAAGATAAAATTAAAAATAAAAAAGTAAAACTAGAAGATTAAAAAATTAATTTTATTGTATATAAGATAGTTTTGGTGATAAGATTATGTTGATCTAATCCTACCCTTGTACAAAAACAATTTGATATCACAATACAACAATGTTAAAATTGCATCTTATTTTGTAAGTGAGTATTTTTTACCTATTGTATGGACCTGAGAATCTCATGTCCATATTATAAATAAAATTGAAAGATAATATTTATACAACTGATATGATTTATAAATGATATTAGTTTTTTTCCTCTAAAGGCCCTTACAACTCCATGTTAAAAAGCAAGAACAAAAGTATGTATAATTGTTCTATGTTTTAAAATATACATATATCAACTCTACTTCCTTAACATGAATATATATATATATATATATATATATAGGGGAAAAATGAACAGAAATAATATATATATATATATATATATATATATATATTTTTTTTAAAAGTCCACACTGACACATAATAAGGAAAACGGGGACTTCAACATAACGAGCTCGCAGATCAACTTGAAATCGAGCCGAGGGGGGGTGTGTGAACAGGGGCTAAGGTAAACCGACGGACGTCGTTATAGTGAACGATTCCGTCGTCTTCTCCGTCGATGACCCCGGAGCATTGACAACCTAGAGGCAACGCGACCACCGCACGCCTCGAAACCTATTGCTCGTCTGGGGGAATCAGAGGTGTGAGAGGAGAGGAGAGGAACTTGTGAATTGCGCGGTCTCGTTGCATGCGTGCGAGTAAGATAGTGTTCCTAGATGGCGTCCAAGCGGATATTGAAAGAGTTGAAAGACTTGCAGAAGGATCCGCCCACATCGTGCAGCGCAGGTGAGTAGCAAGGCATCATTGCACAATTCAGTTTACGCATCTCCAACTTCCGTTTGGCTATTCTTCGTTGCAGAGTTTTCTTTTCGCGGTCTTATCATACGAGCCCTTTTCGCAATTCGCCGTTTCCTGTTCGTGACCTGGAGGATTGGGTATGGTTGTCCGAATGGAGATTTGGGTCCAGCTGATGTTGGAACGAGAGTGTTTTTTTATTCGAAGTTCATGCGTCGTTTTCGAATACCTACCCTGGCTTAACAGAGTGTGTACTCTGATTGTGCGACGGAGGCTTCTTCCGAGTGCAATTTGTGTGAACCTCCTTCACATCTGTGTTGAGTTTTTGGTACCGGGTAACCACATACACACTCATCAATATAGATAGGACAATGTTGAGATCACGGAAATCCTAATTGAATTTTCAAATTTGTAAAAATATAAACACAAGCAAATCCGTTTCGCCATGTGAATCGAACGACGGGAGCTAGCCCCGCCAGCAACAATTTGAGGCCTCGACTCCTTCCTTCCGATCCCCTTAGCCTTTTCTGGTCTGCAGTGTAGTAACATGGAAATGCGACGTTTAGTACCTTTTGTTGATTATTCACCCCTTGCTCAAATTCGTGAATATCATTTAGGCTAGAATAATTTGTTGTTATGGTCCTTGTGAATGTTGGCTTTTGTTAGGTCCTGTGGCAGAGGACATGTTCCACTGGCAAGCAACGATCATGGGGCCCCAAGATAGTCCGTATTCTGGTGGTGTGTTTTTGGTTACCATTCACTTCCCACCTGATTATCCATTCAAGCCCCCAAAGGTTAGTGCACTTGCGGGTATACTGAAATTCTTGCAGAATTTTCAAGTTTTCTGACGGGTCACTTCATCTACTTGTATCCCTGATTTCAATTACTGACGTTAACCGCTTGCCGTACTCCTAAATTTTCAATGAAGTTTTTATCTGACTTTCATTCGCACCTTATCCTGGTTAATGACTTGCTTCTAAATTTTAACTGAAAAATACGCCTGCTCTTGGTTTTATTCGAGGAAAGTTTCACTGGATGGATATCTGTGTTTGCATGTGATGTAGGTTGCTTTCAGAACTAAGGTATTTCATCCCAATATTAATAGCAACGGGAGCATATGCTTGGACATTCTTAAGGAACAGTGGAGTCCTGCCCTCACTATATCAAAAGTTGGTCTCGTTATTCTTCTTCTATTTTCAGTGCTTGTTAATTTTCCGAAATTTTTAGCAGGTCTTTCAAGATGGGTGATGTCTACATTGAATGTCAATGAATCCATGCATAATGTTCATCGGTATATTGTGTTCGTTGAGTAAACTAAGAAACTACTCAATTTGATATGTATAAATCCTGGTGTGGTCGCAGGTTTTGCTGTCAATATGTTCTCTGCTTACAGACCCCAATCCCGACGATCCTCTTGTTCCAGAGATTGCCCATATGTACAAAACAGACAAGACAAAGTATGAAGGCACAGCGAGAAATTGGACACAGAAGTACGCAATGATTTGATAGGATAATTACAACAGGCTCTTGCGGCATGGTAGGGAGGCGGTGGAGGTGTAACATAGGGAGTTCATATGCAGTTCAGCAGAAATGCATCAGTAGTAGTGTTTCTATGTCCAACATGTTCTCTATGTTGCACACAATTCACAGGCCCATGTTGTGCAGCACTGAAGTGTTGTGAGGAGCTTGCATGTCACAATAAGTGCGCATCGTAGTGAAATAGCACTTCAGGATCTTCCAGACCTTTGCCTTCCGTTCTTGCATCTTTGTTCGGGGTATAATATCGCTAGAATGTGAGGGACTTAACATCTACCTGTACGTGGCATCATAGTGCAATTCATGGCATAAGTTGTATTGTAGGGTGTGTCATGCACGTACTTGCTATCATAGCGGCCCTAAACCCTTGATAAAATTCGTCTATGATTCTCTGGAAGGAAATGACGTACTTTTTTCTCCTTGGGCCTTGTTACCGTATATTTTGTAAGTATCCTCGGAGGACCCATACATGGTCCTCAGAAGAAAGCCCATCTCGGTAATTGTAGGGTTGAAATCTTCGGTCTTAAACTACTAGGATGTCCATTTATGTGGAAGAACTTGTCGAGGGCTTGCCTGTTGGCTTCGATATTTTGGATAAAACATATCCCCCCTCCCTACCAGGATCTCTCCCCTAGTGTGTGCAACCGCGGACTCTAGTTTCTGCAATGTGGAGAACGGCGCAAAAGCAACTTGTGAGCACCATCCTCCAAACCAGCAATGTACTGAATTGGTCGTCCTGGAAGTAGTTCCCATCCACGAGGAATAAAGACATTATCCCATTTCCCTTGCGGTGGTGTTGCCCACTAGATATGAAGCCTTGGCGGTACATCTGGATAGGCAAGTTTTGAAGAAGTCTCGCGGCTGCAATTAGGCAATTCATGTACTGGTTGTGAGGGCGGAGCACAGTCAGTCTGCTTTCCCAGTAAGCCCTGATCCCCAACGATAGCTTTTGCGTACTCTCGCCTCTCAGAAAAATCCCACTGCATTGCATGACCGGCTTTGATCCAGACATTCTTCCCTGCTTAATGAGCAACCAGGAGCGGCACTATCCGGTAATTAGCGTAAAGCATGATGCTCTGGGGACTAGGGATATACCCTGGCTCAGATCGTCCACAAGCTTAACCAAATTGGGGCTTGATCGAAATTCCCCATGAAGCCTTTTGGATATTCCACATCAGCTTAGAATCAATCTTCCCTGCATGCAAATCCTCTCTTACTACAGCAGCACTACTGTAGACAATGCTTGCTTTTCTGATGATACATGACCTTCTATCATCCTTGTTGATGAGGGAATCCAATATAGACATGTTGTGCTCCATGCGGTGCTGCAAGTTTTGAAGGTATTCAAGTTGCTTGTATCCTTAGGCGAGTTGTTGTGCTTAGATGCAAAAAAAAAACTGACATAGATTTTACTACACTTCGATGCAATATGTAAGCGACTGCAAGTCAATGCAATACTTATCCTTTTCCATCTTTCTCACTTGCTCTCACACAATGCTAAATATTATATAAATATTATATAAATATATATATGTATATATGCTTTTTTTAGTAATGTTTACACAGAGATAAATTTTAAAAAACATTATTTATCAACACATTTATTTTTTAAAATACTTTTCACTTGGAATATAATATTTAAATTTGTGATTTTAAAATATATTCATGGATATAAGTTAAACATTTAAACACATGATTATCTTTTGTTTTAGGCACATTATTTTTTTTTTCACTTTTAAATGCTTAAGAAAACACCACAAATTATAATACAATGAATTGTAAAGGTGTAATGTTTGGAATATTCACAACTTTTGTCACATATGCTTGTAATTTATACTTTTTAGATTTAATTTTTAAAATTATTTGTGTGTGTATATATGAGTATATATGTATATAAAAAATGCTAAATGTTATATAAATATATATATATATATATACATAATATTTAGCATTGTAAACAAAAGAGAGTGTTTAGTATTTATTAACAAGAGTAATTAAATATATATATCTAGTTTTTTAAAATGTAATCACAATATTAATACTATAAATTGTTAAAGAAATAAAACTTTCAATAATTATTTATAGAGGTGAATTAAGATTGTGTTTGAGACAAACTAATTAGCATTAATTATATAAATTATATAGTTATACAAAAAAATAATAAATTATAGAGTGGTAAAATAATAGCTCATTTAAATTCTAATTATGCATCAGATAATCAAACCATGATTAAACATTTTATATTGCCAAAGGTATAAAAAAAAACAAATTGTCTTCATAAAGTATGTATCTACCAAATAAAATATATATGATACAAATACTTCATTACTTGGAAATTTTTCTCATATGCATTTTATTTTTTCTTTATTCTACCTAATACATGGAAATTTATTCTATCTCAAATATTCTAAAGTTAGATACAAAATTTACTCAAACAACTCATTGACTTTAAATTCAATGACTAGTTTGAACTTTGTTAACAAGACAACAAAGAGGCATCATCCATTATTTATAAAGTTATAATATAAAAAATACATAAAATAATATATATATATATATATATATATATATTAGAGTGAAAAATTTAAGGCATGTACAAAATAGGTCAAACAACATGAATTAGAAGAAAACCTCTAATTAAGTATTCTTGACAATCTACAAAGAATCTCAACTCAACAAGTTGCTAATTTGATTTTTTTTTATCTTTTTTTTATCTTTTTTTTTCTTTCAAATATGCTCATGCAATCGACTTAAATTCTAATAAATTTTGGTAGACATGCAAATTCTTTTTAAAGAAGTAAATACAAAAAAAAATATAAAAAAATATAAAAAAAAAATCCGCAGCTAATGATCAACCTCCAACACAGTATCATACATTATATTATTCTTCATATCAGAAGCATAAAAATAACATAATTACTAATTGTAGGAACACGCTTCTTGGTAGTTTTAGCAATGCAACAATATATAATATTAGGCATGAACTTCAACCAAACATGTTTCCGGAAAAATCTGAAAATTGCAAAAATATGATTTTTAGACATGAACTTTGACAAAACAAAACAAAACAAAACAAAATTGGAAATATGTTGGGTAAGCCACACAGATTTTAGCAAAACTTGTTGGAAAAAGGATGTTCGCCTAACCATGTACACAACCACAAAATGAACTAAATCCATCCGCAACATCACACATCTGAGGTGAGAGAAGACAAAATTGGAGTATTAGGTGCAGACTCTTCCATTAGCTCAAACCATCCCCCTATTAAAAGTCCATGCCAATCATCCTGATCAGAATCCTTTAAGCATGAGGCCAATCTTGTACCTACTCTTCTCCTCATTAAGCAGCAAAGGGATTTCCCCGCTTATGCTTCAGAAAAAGAAAAAAACGGCTCTGCGGGCCTCGCTGGGCATCACCAGAACCAGAAGCTCTTGCGCAGTACCGCACAACGAATTCGAGCAGTATGTCGGGGTTTGCTTCGCCGAAACCAGCAATCGATGCAACTGCTCAGCCTGCACTCACCAGATCTGACGGAACAGGGAGGCCTTGATCCACCTCGTCGTATTGTTCGAGGCTCCGCGGAGCACCGCAACCGATTAACGCAAACCCAATTTAGATTACTGCAATTATTAGTGGCATTGATCACGCCCCTGACAGAGCTTACCCCCAAGCGCCGGCTTCCAGGATGCCATAAAGAGTAGGGAACTAGATTGCACAGATTGGTAGCGGCGGAGCGGCCCTTCGATCTTTCCAGGAGACAGCGCTCCGAATCGCCACGTAAAATCGCACACCTACAAATTCCACGACGTCGTGGTGGTTGGCGTCGCTGATCAACGAGGACGACGCAATGCTGTCGATGAATATGCTGCTTGGCCTCCGAAGCCTGAGCTCTTGGACTTGAGGACAATTCCGAGTATAATCGTCGTACATTTTAAGAAGATTCCAGGTTGAAATCAGCGTGCTTGTCCGCCAACAGGTTCCCCTCAAATGTGGGAACGATATGCTCGGTTCCCAATGTTCTGTTCCCACGACTTCGAGGCTTTTTTTCAGTGTTCCCTACTTATGATTATTATTATTATTAAATTTGTGTTTATTGTTATTATTTAGTGGCATCATTGACATTCAGATTACAACTGTAGTTGCGAATGAGAAAGTGAGTTTCGAGTTTGGATTGTATTTCAATCGGAGTCTCTATATTGATAATACATTGCTTGATTCACTTCAATGCATTGCACATATTTGTTTGTAAGTTGAAAATATTAGTACCTTGATTTATTTGATTAAAAAACTAGTTGTAAAAGGAAATACAAAACATGGGCATGGTTCTATCAAAAAAAAAAAAAAAATGAAATTAATGAACTTAGAAAACATAAAAGAAATTTTGAGATGACGATTGATAATTGATTTTTTTTAAAGAAGATATATGACTTTTAGAATTTATATAGTAAAAAATATATATTTCTTAGTTGAGTACCAAATAAGTTATGTACAAAAGTTGAAGTTCTCTTAAATTTAAAAATTAAGAACATAGGTGGATGAAAGCTTTGTAAATGTATCAGTAGATGTATTTCCTGTTGAAATATTCATGTATGGTGTATTTTATTTTGAAATTGGACAAATATATTCTACAGCATTCATTTAAAATTAGTTACATGAGTTTTTGGTTATGATTTATTATATGGACCATTGTAACAAATTGTAATTTTTTAATGCTTTACTTAGGTTTTTATAAACATTTTTAATATACACTGAGTTTAAAGTTCATAAATCTTTGCACATAAGTTATTACTGTGTGATGTTTTAAAATATATTTCAACATTGATTTTATATTTAAATTATTATTAAAACAAAAAAATGAATACATGGATTATTATGTAAATATTAACTTATTCTCACTTTTAAGTTCTTTGTATGACATGTCGTATTTTAATCTCATCAATAATGAAAAAATATGTTCTTTTCTCCCACCAATAAAACTTTCATTACTCAATAGTTTAGAACATACTACTTATTGTCAAATAAGATGAATTTAAATAATTTCAATAGACTCTACAAACTAGAAGAAATTTAAAAAGATTTTAGAAAACAAATAATTCTAATTTCCAAAACAACCAAATTATGTAAAATCATAGATAAAATCCATCAATAAAATTATATTTCAAATTTTAAATGAATCTTTTGGTAAAAAACAATCTATATTTTCTTTAACTTGCATTTAAATTTTATTTTATTTTTCATTCATAAAAAAATAATATAGTTTTAAAAAAAGATCATAGTTATTTTAATGACAATTATTGTCTCATAACTTGCCCACACAATTTGACATTAACTGCATATTCCCATCTGCATGTTTTGGACTTTGTTTGCACATTAGGAACTGTATGTTTGTACTTTGTTTTTCCTTTTGAAGTCAAGCACA